AGATATTACGTTTGATTTTATGTATTTAATTTGTATTTTAATTTTACTTACGTTAATGAAAAACAAGTTTTGGAAATCATATTTCCAAAATCGGAACGCGTCCTCATGGAGAGCCTAAACGATCCGCTCGATTGTTTTTCCAGGCGGAGAGTACATCGCGCCGCATAACGAAACTGCCATAAACATTTCCTCGACATTACTTCCGAAAGCGTCAGTGTGTATCCACGGAAATCGCACTTATTCAGCGGGTGAGAAAGTTGTCCGAGACTGCGAGGAGAAGTGCGTGTGCTCCGAAAGTGGAATTATGGAGTGTCAGCCTTTATGTATCTACCCTTACGTTAGAGCGGGCAGAGACTATAAGGATCCTTTGTGCCAAGAAAAACTGGTTGTTGAGGAACCATGTTGCGCCGTTATTCTCTGTCCAGATTCAGGTGTGTCTCTTTGTCTATTCTCAGAATTTGATGATCTTCATGCAGACACAAGTGCGGAAATTCGCGATTTAAAAGCCTATAATTTGTCGCCTATAATTTTCCGCACTTCAAACATAAAGTAATACGCACAAATGGTTCGATAGACTTATCAGACCACATTCTTTCATTAAACTCCTTGACTCTAGTTTTTTTATTGCTCCAGAGATTTCATTAATTCATTTGTCGGCGCTCATTAACGTTTGAATTTGCGTATATTATCTGCTGTCATAAATAGAACGGAAATTATACTTACTATTTGAGATTATTCCACATGTATGATTAATTATCAACAACATCACAAGCTATTTATAGTTTATTTTTTAATTCAACTTATTTGTTAGATATCTGTAGGGTAGCTTATTTTTCTATTAAAAAGAAGCTATTCAATTAATATAAAAAGATTTATGTATTAATATATTTGATACAGATACTGAACCGGACGAGACGTGTGTGTTCGGCAACATTACAGTGGCTAGAGGAGAACGTGTTGAAGACGGTTGCTCCAGGATATGCATTTGCGAGGCTGGCGGCCATTTGAAGTGTCAGCCCAGGCCCAAGTGTCCACCGAATGACACCATAGCCAAGCAGCATGATCGCTGCGTCGCGCTAACCGACCCTAGGTATAAATCTTTAATCGATGAAATTAGCAATCGCGGATTAAATCGTAAAATTAAATAATTTATAAGCAAGATAATAGCTAATTATCTTGATCCTTAGTGATCACTGCTGCACAGTTACACTTTGCGACGTTACTTTGGCCGATCACGAGTTCAGACTGGAGAATTCCACCGATCTGAGCGTACAATTAATGGACGTGAAGGTGTTGAATTCGACGGCGATCAAATTAAAATTATCCGCGAAGAATCCTCAAGACGTTACCATAGAGATCTCGCAGGACAATCACGTATGGAGACAACAGAATCCCGATAAAGGTAAATAAAACTTATCGATGAACGTAAAGAAATCATTATTGTAGCTGATGAGCGAGAGAAGTATCGAATGCGAGTGGTTCGCGAATCGAATTCAGAAACTCATGCTTCACGACCGCTTTGATCATTAACTATTCAGGCCCCTCTCGTTTCATAAATTAGAAATGGTGCAGAACAGTTGAAATTATAATACGCTTCATGAGTTGAAGCAACGATATTTCTCTTCGTTACAAGTAGTTATATATACAAATTTCTACTATGTCAGACATTTAAAATAATTTTTCTTTGCTGATATCTCGAATTATAGAATACTATCGCTACAGCTCTGAAAGATTTAATGACGAAGGATAAAAAATAAAAAATTAGGACAAAGTTACATATTTCTATATATTCGCAGATGGTATAGTTTCGAGTTTGGAGCCCGCGCACACGTATTACGTTCGCGTGGCGGAAGGAAGCCGTACCGGGCTAGCCATACAGGTGTCCCTACCAGCCGAAGTGGTGAAGACGAATATTTCGGAGAAAACATCCGACAAGAATACCTGCAATTACAGGGGAAAATCATACAAAATTGGCGCGGAATGGTACGATGAGTGTATCTCCTTCTGCACTTGCACAGAGAGTGGAAAAAGTGAATGCGCTACGATAGAGTGTCCTACGGACTTTGGATTGGACTTGTTGGATCCTCACTGTCTAGATTGGGAAACGGTTCCAGCGAATTTTGTCCCAAAAGCACCACAATGCTGTCCCCAGGTACAGCTTTCGAAGATTATTTCCTAAAATAGAATTTTATTGATATACCACTTATTATAATAAGCATATGCAAAAACTGAATAAGCAAATCAGAAACTGGACTCTGCTTATTTTCGTGGAAAACATTCCAATGTACTGTTTATTATAATTATAGGATTTACAGAATACTTTTTGATTTATAATTTCAATTTTAAAAATTAAAAATTTTATTCCGTTTGATAAAAATATTATTCTACTTCTCGAATTTATTTCTTGTAACTACATACAGATCACAGACAAATTAATTAATTCTATTCCAATTCAAATACCTGAAATAAATTCATTAGAAGTATATAATACGTCATTTAAAGATAATTAACTGGTTAAGTAATGTGATCCAGTTTTATTCTCGGGTTCGCCTACTTCTCACAAAAATTAACGAATATTCTACCGCGTATTATCCTACTTTCCCCTACATCAATAATTCAAAAATATTCACATTATAAAATATGTATCAAGTCAAACTAAAAAAATACATAATAAAGCACATATGATATATATCAATATCTTCGAAAAATATATTTTCAAAATGTTTCGAGTAAAAATTGTAATGTGATGAGGAATATTATTTATCCACAAATAAAAATTGTTAAACATTTAAGGCAAAAGAAACTCCAAATGTAGAATCTCAGATTTTGTTTTTAAGATATTTATATTTAAATAACTTTTTTATTAGATATCGCATAAATAATATCTATTTCGGATAATAATGGCTATTTCTTTAATGAAAATTCTGAAGAAAGCTCAAAATCTTTCTCAACAAATTTCTACATTCTCATATTCTGACAATAATTATTGATTTCTAGGAGGTGCGCTGTAGGAACAATGGCTCCTGTAATTATGAAGGAGTTACGTACGACAACTGGAGCGAGTTACCGTCAAACGTCACCGGCTGCGAGAGGCGTTGTTATTGCGAGATGGGCAATGTGTCCTGTCACGCTGCTTGCAAATTTGTACCAGCCCTGCCGCCTGCCAATTTACCATGTCCTTCTCATCAAGCAACATTGACGCATGTACCTGCTAATCCGTGCTGCACGCAATGGACCTGCGGCCATCCTTCGTCACAACTGCCAGGTAAATAACAGTTTGGATAAAAATAAAATACATGTTCCCCGACATCCTAATCAGCCGAGTATAGTTCTTAACTCCTAAGAATGCACGCGGTATTTGGGATGGGAGATATTGTGTAACATTTTTAATTTGTCATGAATCTAAATTAAATGTTCTTTCTTGAATGTTACTGACGTACATACGTTTTGAAGAAAGTAATCTCTATCATTTAGATTTAGATAAGATTTATTATTAGATTTATTATGTTTGTTCTTTTGAGAAATTTATACTTTTTCTATGATAATGAAAATATTTAAAAATATGCGGAGATAAGCTTTTAATTAAGATGCAAAAATACATTTTTGTACATTGAAATTAAAGAATATTACTTAAAGAAAGAAAAAGTTAAGAACTACTGCTCCAATCAACAAATCCATTGTAAAAACCATTATATTATATCACATTTCTCATCGAAGGATATTAAGAGATGTCTACAGGGATACCTTTAATAAATGAAAACATACTCCGGATAAAGTACTAACTATGATTGAAAACTACTACTGTTACTGATTATTATATTTAACGTGTAATTAGCAGCGAATCGTAAGTCGTCATCAACTACCTTTCCTAAGTGGCGAAGCCAACAAATATTTCTAGCTGTTAGGTTACTTTCGGAACACAATTATTGGATTGTTATTTTCAAAATGATTATATATAATCGTAATAGAGACGAGATACTTTTTATTCATTCCATCTACTAAATTATTTCTAATTATTATAGAACGTTCAACAAATCGTGATACAATTGGCGAAGTAATTTTTTATATCAAAAAATTAATTTTAAAAATGTATAATAAATTTTTGAATTGATCGTACAGCTTTTAGGAAAAGTAATTTTGAATACAAAGATAACGTCTATTTAAAGAAAAACATTGATAATTGTATGTCGAATAAAATACAGCTTGTAATAATTCAGATAAATCTACACAAATTTATTGGATACGTCAAACAAATAGAAAATGATAATATTTATTAAGGCATTGTTGTGCATAGCCATGATGTGCAAATGTACATGCATTCTACATTTGATCCGTTAATTACATATTTTAATTGTATATTTTAAGAAACCTTCAGAAATCGCTTTCTCTACCATAGTCTATTAACTTATATACATATATGAGATTCACAGGATAATCATTTCCCGTCCCTATTTCGGTTTCGCTCTATAAAGGATTAACGCAATTATTCAGTAGCTAAAATGTTGATTGTATCGCAAAAGCATATATTTAGGTTAATGAAATTTTAAAATCAAGTCATATTGTTAGGAGAAGAAAATTACAATATGACCATTCTCTCTTGATCATGTTAACATACGCACAACAAGGCCAAAACTGATATTATTCATTCAGTTTTTGAAATAATAAAAATATATAAAATAAAGTAAATAGAAATCATTTTATTGTTTTTCTGTACTATTAATACTTATTTATGTTTAATAGCTTTCACTCTTGATACAAATTAAAATTTAATAAGCAAGATTTAATTTTTTAATTATATTATACTTTCAAAAGTTAAAAATAAAAATTATAATTACTGCAATCTCTTATGAAGAATTACAAATATATATATTCAGAAAAAAGTCATTCTATAATATTACAATACAATAGGGATATTCTTTCATAAAGGGTGCAGAGAGGGTGAATTTTTGAAAATTGTTATTATTTTTTTAATATTATTGAGATGTTATTAAATAGAGGTGATTTTATCTCTTAAAACCGATTTTTTGTCCCAACCGCTAATTTCTAAAAAAAAATCATTTGTTCACTTCACCTACATGTACATATATAAAGTTTCATTAAAATCAAACTTTGTGACACTTCCGAGGTGTCCTTATAATTAAACTACATATTGTAAAGTTACAGGCATATTAAGCGTTACATAATGAGATACAAAATATACCTCGTATATCTGGTTACGCCCAAAAATTCAATGTAATCTTATGTAAATAGAAAGATTTTTAGCACAAATTGTGTCAAATGGGCTCTAATATAAGTGCATTATTGCGTAATGTTTATTTAGGATTGCACTTTTTTATTGTATTGCGATAAGTTAACGGCTTCAGGTTACATTCTCCCGGTATATTCCACCCCGAGATTTACATTTGTCGACTTTATCCCCTTTTTTTCTCCTTGTACATACCTCGCATTGACAATGTAATAACCGAATGAAAGCAAAGCTGTAAATGCATGCTTCACATAGCCGTGGCTGCGCTTGGAAAGTTTGAGTTGGATCCCGCTGTAAATATGCATGGACCCCGGACAACTCGTGACCGATCACTGACAATCTCTGTGACAATGGACTTTACTTATTGCAGGGGTGAACGTGACGACCGCGTATCCCGGCCCCTTAGCCACAAACACGTTTGATCGGCAAACGATTGACAATATCAAAAGACCGAATAACAAGTCGGAAATGTTCAAGCCCAGCCAGGAACCGGAGCACAGTACTTCTCCCTTCTCGGAAGACCCGAAAACCGATCAGACCCATACGGACACTACTGCTCACGGACCTCCTCACTATCCTATGGATCCAGGACATCCTACGGTGCCCTACAACGGACCTTACAGTCCCGACTTCCTATCCACTCATCTCAATGTCGAGGACATCTTTCATTTGCCCGTTCACTCCGAAAAGCCGATATCGATCCCGAAAGAAAAATCAAAGTCAAAATCCGACTCGAAGAAACCCGTAGAATCGCTGAAACCTCACAAGGATATGATTGATCAGTATTTCCCTGGTCCGTTAGCACCTGATAGATTCTCCGATAAGGCCGCTTCGATGCCTACATATCCTATTAATGAAAATCAACCTGCACCAGGTTTATTGAACCCGAACAAATGGACTTCTTTGCAAAAAGATCGTCCAAACGATCAGGCTCAGTTCATTCCGTTACACCCTCAACCGGATACATCAGATCCAGGATTCTCTTTTGCTCATAGTAACGGAGAAAATACCTCTCCGGTCAATTATAATAACCAATACTCAGCGGTTGGACTTCCTCATCAGGGTTCGATCCCGCTCAAATCCGATACGATCGACCCGAACGTAATTGTCCCTAAGAAGAAGACCACACCAAGTAATCCCTTTGTCGACGCAGAAAAATCAAAACCGTCCTCGGTATTGCCGGATCGGCCGAAACAAGGTCAAAGAAATCCCGATCACGAGACTCTGCCGGAACAGTTGTACCACCTGATAAACTCGCAGCACCCCGGCCTAATTCAGCTCAATCATACTCCTCCCCAAGGTCACCCGGCTCTGTACGATCTTCACCAACAGATCTCTAGTCAGAAACAGCCGTCCGGCAATCGAGGTCAACAGCCCCCTTATTTCGGGACGGCCGCGGCGGCGCCCATCGCGCCGAAGAAGACGACGAAGCCCCATGTCTTCGCGCAGAAAGATGAGAACGGGCAGACCACTTATCACATTCACACGCCCGACATTCCGAATACCCCGCAGCAAATCGAGGAGCTATTAGCGCACATCGGTCAGCACGATCCCAATCCCGGGCCCTTCCAACCCTATCCCGGCCAGCCAGCTATACCCCATAACGTGCCGAACGGCCCGCTGCCAACTCTACCACTCCATATAGACGCTCACATACCACAGTCAGGACTTACGCACTTGAACCACCCGCTCGCAGCACAAACGCCCAGTCAGTCAGGTTCGTTCCTGATCATCAGAAGAAATAATGTACAGAATTTGCGTTAGCGGTCACGTCTGATAAACGAGCCGATCTTCCTTGTTGAAAAGTGAAAATAACGTTCTCATTGCCGACATTCCATCGATCACTCTCATTTGTGAAGCTCCAACGTTAAATGCCTTCGTAACTACATCCCAAGATTTGAGCTTCTGTTAAAATCCACTCATAATTAGTCCAGGAATTGGGTATTATCATCTGATTACATCTCTAACGTGTAATTTGCAAAATACATTTCTTTTTAATTAGTCATACAGCACGAATATTATTTACGTTCTAATATCCCTAGGGAAAGTTATTTTATTTTTCGATAAGGAACATCGCTACATGCGCCAGATATATCTCTTATAGAAAATTCTATGTAATTTACATAAGGACCATGTACGTTAATGCTCTTAAAAGACATACGTTTGCAGCAAATTTTTGCGATTAAAGGCATCTGCTGCGATCTTGAAAAAAAGATCTTAAATTTACAGAAGCGTGTAGAAACGTGAAAACAAATAAGATCAATTTTATTGTAGACTTCGTAAAGGACATGGAGTGAGATTAGATTCAATCTAGGAAATATCGAAGAAATAATTCGCTTCTTAAAACAAATCCAAATGGTGTAAAGAAAAAATAATATTTTAAAAGGCAATAAGGCAAAATTTATTTAAAATTTTGAAGCGTAAAAAACCAATCGAAGGACGCAAAGAGATCATAAAGCACTTACTTAGGTCCTGTTGTTTTATTCGGACGTATTTCGACTCATCTTTACTTTTTAAGTGCGTTAACACGATTTTTTATCGAAAAGTTCACTTAATTGAATATCTATAAGTTGCGATATATATCTAATTTCTCTTACTCTTGAGATCTTATATATCTCAGATTTTTGTAGGTATCAAACATCGACTTTTAAGAAGAATCGATTTTGTAAAATTTAATAGTTAATTACAGTCTGCTTTCCAACTAGTCTGAATATAGAATGAAGAGAACAGAAAATACGGAACAGAATTTTGAAAGCTTTGATGAGCCAACTGTTAACGAAATATTCGGAGGAGAGACTGAGCCCTGCAGGCGCATATGATTATTACTCACCGCATGTTTCTCGCATATTTCTGGACTTTAACAGAGATAGAGATATAATAAATCTTCCGCTATATTATAGGTTTGGACCATAACATTGTACCTCCAGGCTTTGCTCTACCTGGAGGTATAACCGGATTCCCAGCCGCGTCTGCCTCCAATGAGGTCACAATGCAAATACTGGAAGCGCTAGATGAACATACGGTTCGATTAGTGTTCACCGTACCTCAGGTGCTGGTAGGGCTGCACGGAAGAGTCGAGCTGCGATACACCAGCGATAAAACGTATGTGGTAATGCATTACTTATCAAATTGAGTAAAGAGATCTTTTCAAATTTCGCAAGTCCGCGCAAAATGTTTAAACCTAGAAAAACAAAGAAATTCAGAAGGAATGGCATCATAAATTATCCTAGATGATAAATTAATTTAAATCAACGTAAGTAAGACTATGTTATCATATTGCCTTCCAATTTGAAAAGATCTTTTGTGCAACTTGATACTTTTAATTTCTCCCTGATTCGAAGTAATTAGCTAATTTGTTTTTTCTTTAATTTAATGTCTCTTAAAATTAGATAAAATTGAAATACTATTTTTAAACTTCCTTTCATTAACAAGTGTTTTATAAGGTTTTTACAGTGTCAGCTTGATAACTTGTTATAGAAAGCGTTCTATATTTTAAACTCTCAGATGTGATTCTTTGCACTGTCTGTGGCTGGTAAAAGTATAAGTGGGGATTCCAGTGAGAAACGGAATTTCTCAAGCCTCTATTGTTCTCATGTGTGACGTCGATAATACGAAATATTCATTCTTGATCCTTGAAACAATAGAATACTTCGTCTTACAGGAATTTCGATCCATCCACGTGGAAGGCACAGGTGTTTGCCCCTCCTAATGACTTGATCGCGACACCGCAGCTTGAGTTTGAGCTGGGTGATCTAAAGCCGATGACCGAATACAAGGTGAAGATTACGGTGAAACTGAAGGACCTGGCCAACAGTCCAACCAGCAAGATTTACAGTGTGCGTACATTGGAGAAACACGCGGAGGTGACGACCCTGCCCCCGCAAATACCGATTGACGCCGAACTTAGAATAGCAGAGACGAATTCGACCTGGGTTAACGTTATGTGGAAGAAATTCACGGAATACGAGCTGCAATTCATAGACGGTGTTCAGTTGAGATATAAAGAATACGATAGTAAGGTTTATGCGGCAACACCGTTGATCCATCGTGCCGTAACGAATTACGTAATTGAAAACCTGAAGCCGTCAACCACGTATGAAGTCGGTATTTACTTCATACCGTTCCCAGGACAATTAACGGAGTTAATTAGTGAAAAAACGGTAAGATAATTTAACGATTATTCAAATTATCTGACATGATTCCTGGATCGTGATTAGAGATGTTAGAGATATTAAAATTATATAAAAAAGCAAACTATTAAAGATATAAAAATTAGTAATACTACAAGAAATATCAAAAGTATGAAGATTACTAAAATTACAAGCACGGAAACAAAAAGAACAGCTACGTGGTGAAAAAGTCATAACTTTAATACGTTTTTAAAAATTTGTATGCGTTCAATCTTTATTAAATTCAGATTATCATGCAAAACTGCTCCTTTTTAAAGCTTGTGTAAAAAATATATAATTAATCTACTTTTATCTTTTAATACTTTTTAATCTTTTGGATTTTCTTTGATGTTAGAATACACCGTTAGGTATTATTCGTTAATAGTCATATAATATAAGAATACGAAGATAAATAGTTAATAATAATGTTTTTACATGGAATACAGCGACATATATAACAAAAAGGAATAATATTGTTAATAAATTATTATTTATTGCAGATTCAGGTAGCTACGTTTACGGAGCCAAATCCCTACTCTTTCGATGTAAAAGTTGAGATTAAAACTATCAAGTCGACGGACGTGGAAGTGTCCTGGAGTGGCGTGCCTTATCCAGAGGACAAATACGTGAATATTTATCGTGCGATTTACCAGAGCGACACTGGCAAAGAAGACACTAGTACCTTCAAAATCGCCAAGAGAGACGCTCACGCTAAGACAGTAATCGGTGATCTAAAACCTGGCACTAGATACCGATTATGGCTCGAAATATATTTGACGAATGGAAGAATAAAAAAGAGTAATGTGCAAGATTTTGTCACTAAGCCAGGTGTTCTCTTACCGGCTACCGTGTCTCAGCAAGGTAACGATATAAGCAGTGTTATTTTCCCCTTCCTGAAAATTTTTAAACATTACTATAGTTTCTTAAAAATTTAAAGAGAAAGATTGCGTGATATCAAAGTGACGCAACTTCGAAATGTTTCCTTTCAATTTTATGTAAACGAGACATATATATCATATGTCATTGCCGATTTACCGTGATAAAATTTGCAATCTTCTCCATCCTCGTTCTCTAAGAGCATAATTTTTTGCGCGATTTTATCTTCTTCTATTTTTATTTATATATTTATATTTTATCACAAAATTAACTATAGAATCTTTTCTTCAGCTGGAAAATTTGCATCGCTTCCCCTGCATGAAGGAGATTACTATGGTCCGCTAGTGATAGTGGCCATTGTGGCTTCCTTAGCGATACTATCAACCTTGATTCTATTAATGATGCTGATGAAAAGACGAACGAGTAGTAAGGCTGACATATCACCTCGTAAAACTACATCAGCATACGACAATCCTTCCTACAAGGTAGAATTACAACAAGAAACTATGGGTAATTCATTGTTATTGTTATTGTATTCGTAGAGTAAGATAAATGCGTCAGTATAAGGCCGATAAATTGGCCAACATTTTAATTGCTGGATTTCAGGAAAAATATTCATATAACGTATATATTTTTTCACCGAGATTACAAGAGTAAATTCACATTAAATGTTTCTCTTTTTTTTTAGACTTGTGAGGATGCAGTTACGATACCCAACGGAAGAAACAAAACTACAGCAGACCATGAAATGGCTACCATCAATTCGAATGTCAAAGAAACTGCCTGAGGTTTTATATAATTTATTAAATCTGTATTTATTTATATTAAAGTCTGCATATAAAAGATGCATCTATTAAATCCGTCCATACGTATGACCATCTCAAGACTTGAGTGAGTAGGATAGTTCAGATGGATTTTGTTTACATTTGTACAGTTTACATTTGTATTATTAGACATTCATAAAATAAATAACGTATTTTTAAAAGTTATGATTTTATGTAAAGAACGTCAAGAACTAACGAGATTCACAATAAGTATTTTTAAGTGGAATGGTCAATGAATGATTCAGTTTTTTATCAAAACAAAAGTGCAATTTAAACAAATTTAACCACATATTATTGATATATTTTAAAGTATAAAATAAGAGAAAATTATGATTAATAAGCATCCTTCGTATGTACATTTGACGTCATGGATCTTATAAAAAACAAAAATAAGTTTGTAATTGCACATACGTATTTGGAATCCGTATTTAAAATTGTATTCAAAATTCATACGTCATTGCGTGTGTGTATGTGTGTATGTTGCGTTGGCATAATAGTCATAGTCTTTTCCATGCTAGTGTAGATAGCGAAAGAGGATTTATAATAAATAAAGCTTTTAAAATTATTCGGTGTTTTAATTTGTGCCATCTGTTGTTTCGTTATATATATTCTACCAATGTCATATTTTTCTTTCATTATATTTTTACATTTTATCAGTTTCTTATCAGTTTTAACTATCAAATTTAAGGGGATTCTAAAGCAATGATCGAACTTCAACGGGAAAGTACTTTTATCTAAATAAAACTAAAAATGTCAATAATTATCGTTTTTTTTTTTCGGTAAAAAAAATAGTCCCAAGATCACTAACATTTATAAAATAATTTTATTTTCATTATTTATATCGTCTTTAAATACGATGTATTTTTCCATACATTATTTGAAAATATTAAAAAAAAAAAAGAATGTAATAAAAGGAAAAAAATTTTCCATACATTGTTAGCATTACATTTAATTATGCATGTATAACTATATAGTTATATACTAAATAAAAAAAGGAGTTATTGGAAATATGTAGATACAAAGGAAAAGATACCGAGAAAAGGGGAGCAAGCGTAAAAACTTAAAAGTATTTCTTCAAAGTTTCTTCCATGCTTAACGGTTCAGTAGACGGAGCGAATCTCTCAACTACTTTGCCCTCCTTGTCTACAATAAATTTGGTAAAATTCCATTTAATAGCGTTGGTAATGAGACCCTCTTTCTGGGTCTTCATCCACTTCCACAGCGGATGGGCATTCTCTCCGTTTACGTCAATTTTCTCGAACATGTCAAAAGTAACATTGTACTGCTTCACGAAGTTCAGTATCTCCTGAGAAGTGCCCGGTTCCTGGCCAGCAAACTGATTAGAAGGAAACGCAAGAATTCGCAAGCCTTCCTTCTCGCTGTATTTATTATACAACTCCTGGAGCTGCTTGTAATTGGTGTCCGTTAAACCGCAGTTGCTGGCAACGTTAACAATGATGAGGACATGGCCACGATATTTGTCCAATGAGACATCCTTGCCCAAGATATCGTTCGCGTGGAAATCGTAAACCGAGGTAGCCGACTGCCAGTTGGTGTCTTGATTGAACTCCGACGCCGGCGTCGTGGAACATTGCGCGCCTTTGTCTTCGCAATCTTGTGCAATGATTCCCGAGATGGCAAGAAGCACGAATATCGACGCAGTTCCTATAAATAATGTACAATACATTATTATCTATACTATCTGTCTATGCTATATCTGTACTAAAATATAGTTTTTCTTAAGGCCGGTTTTCACACGCAATGATTAGTGGCGCCAACTGACTGGCATTCATTGGCGCCAGAACCGACTAGCAAACTCACAAGTATTTACACAGTGATTGGCGTATACTATGGAAAATATTTAACATTTATTAAACACACAGTAAATGACAGCAAGCATATAACCTCCAAATTTGAGGTTATATGCTTTGGCCAATAACCGCCAGTAAACGCCACATTACTAGCGCCAGTTTGTATCAAGTGTTTACACTTGCATTTTTACTGGCGTTAGTCGACTGGCGCGGCCTGGCGCCACCAATCATTGCGTGTGAAAACCGGCCTTTAGTTACACTTTCAATGTAAATATTTATTTTCCAAATAAACATTTATACTTCCTCTTTCATTTCTTTCTTCAGAGAAAAATATGTCAAACTTCATCAAATATCATATATATCACAAGTAATAACAGAACAGGTCGTCCTTTTGTGATAGTATGACGAAATTGTAAAATAATTTCTTTCGTATTACTATTTTTTTTTTTCGAGAATAATTAGTTTTGATAAAACGGACAATGACCATTTCACTAGCTAGTTTCTTACATTTATGTATCTGCTTTATGTTAAATGCAAAGAGCAGATATGAATATAAATAAATTCAAATTCAAGTTTAAAGATAAGTAATGTTTTGATATTATAGTTTCCATATTATTTTTCATATCAACAGTAATAAAATATTTATGATTATTAATTATTAGTGTCAGTTATATGTATATATTTTGAAAAGGAAAAAGAAACGTGATCTTTTACGATCAATTTAATTAAAATAAACATATATCGTGAATAAAATATAATAACTTCATATTTACAGTTTAATAAAAATATAAATTAAAAAATTGTGGAAAAAATAAATTAAAAAACATGTAAAACAGTTTGTAAGCTTTAGTAAGAGCAGGAGTAATAATTTTACCAGGTCAAATCCCATTTTATTTTGTCTAATAAATTACAAATAATTTTTTATAATAGAAATACTTACATTTACTAAGTTTTTATATTTTTATTATACTTTTTTGCCCCTTTCATCACGACCAAGTAAAACAAGAATTTATTTCACTTTGCAATCTAAAGATTGCAAAAAAAAAAGAGAAAAAAATAATATGTTCTGATAAAGAGACAAATTGTTTTTGATCAGCCACAAATTTTGCAACAACAAAGAACACAAGAAAATAAAACTTGATTTAACAGAGGAATGTGTTAAAAGTAAATTGTATAATATACGTATAAATAATATGGAAAATATAATCACTTTCCTGAGAGATCTTTTTAAAGAACAATTTTCTTTGTTTTTATTCGCACACGATATGAAAACCAAAAGCCGGCTATTTCCCGTCGAACAGAACAATTGGCAAAAATTTGCATGGAATCGACTTGAATGGTAATAAGTTCTCACAGCAAAGAGCTGGAAAGGTCTCGAGATAAATTTTTTAAGAGACTGATTTTCTATTTACGCATATATGTGTAAGTACTCACGCAGCATTTTGCCGAAAATAGGAATTCCACGCGGTTCGTTGCCGAAAACGTAGTTACACTCTACTGTCGTAGTAAAGCAACGTCGTACTTTGTACCACAAAAAGGGACACGTATATCGAGACAACGTCACGATAGGATGACCACTGTGGACCACTGATTACTGATGACCACCTACGACGCGCGTCGTAGCTTTATTGGTTTTCTACAATCGCCCCAGCGCGTTCGAAGACGAAAATATATATATAGCTTACGGACTCTCTTTGTTAGTATTTTTTATTTCTCAGAACCTTGAAGACACACTGACCTCTATCCTTGAGATACGTATTACAGCCAATCACGGTTGATCTCGGCTCGTCGAGTTCCCACGTACAGGACGTCCCATAAATCCAGCGTCGTAAAAAAGATATCGAAAGGACGGAACAAAGGCTTTCAGTTTACGTAATCCGCTTGATATGTCCACCATTATTCTCAAAACATAAAATTTATACAGTCAAAAATCGCACGGTCATTGATATTTATAGGTATTGTATGAAATGCGTCATTGATCTACGAGGCTTGCGAAGCTGGACTTGTGAGACACCCTGTACTTCAGAATCTTCGGATGACCAGTGATCGTTGCGCCATCTGGAAGTAAACATCGCTCGAATGGAACTATAAATATCAAATATGGCGCCAATCCGCTCAATTTAAATCGTCGGCACGCGCTATAAATAAACGTTACACACGCATGCAATTAATTACGCATGGAAATAATTATGTTCATTATTTTATAATAGAAATAGAGCATATAACTCGGAGTAAATTGTTATCGAGTATCACGCGCGCGTTTCCAGTTCATTTTTCAAAAATACGATTTCGATGATATAGCGTTGTTCAATAATTGCTTCATCTAAAATTTTTCGAATTCTGAGAAACGAAAAACACGGGTATATATTTAAAAATGTAAATTCGCGATTATGGAATATATTAAATGTCGAATAATATTTATATAAATATGGAATATCTATAAATATTAAAACTTTCGTCTGAAACGGTTTTCCTTTACATTTTTACTCGCGCTTATGCCGAGTTATTTTCGAAAGATTTTGATCCCTAAATATACAAAAAAGGCATGTATAAAAAGTATTTACAAAAAAGCATTTATAAAAAAAATGTTTACTTTTATAAATCGTTCTACAACGCATGCGAGTCGAGATACATGTCTCTCGTCGCTGCGTTAAATTTTTCTTATCTTGAATAGACCGCAGCAAATAAAAGTGCAAGAGGAAAATTTATGTAAATGATCGATTCGTTCTACAAAAAAAAAGAGGTTTTTTATTTACAAAGCAATATGTAATCGTCTGCGCCGGGTCGCATTACCGGTGCGCATAAAGCAGATACTGCTTTTTTATGACTGGGCCCTGCCAACCGCGGTGTATTACATAACAAGATAAACAAACAAAGTCAGACGATTTCTTGGAGAATCGAATACACGATCGAACGATCCCGGATGAGTCACAAGTCCCCGGCAAGGACGATATCTCGCCTCTTCCTGGCGCGTCGACATTTTAATTGGACGATCAATCTCCTCCTCGTTCACGACGCGTTGAATTTCCAATTGGCTTTGTTGTTAGTGTCGTTATACATCTATTATATATCTCTGATCGAGAGAAACGTAAAGCAGAACCAATGTACAATTATAGATAATGTCGTTCAATTTACCGCCCAAAATTCCTACCCTATCCCCATACAATACTTTTGACAACCAAATATAACATATTAATATCCACTCTATTCTATTTTTCATATCCTTCTTGACTGCGACGTCGGTCTTGTTCCCCCACACGCTATAAAGCATTTCGAAGAATCCAGGATCCGAGAATTCTCGCATGTGACCACAGATTCGAGAAACAATGTCATTATAAATAATCAGAAAAATACATTTCTCGCAGTATTTGAGTCTATACGTTCATAATAGGCTGCATTCTCCGATATTCACTGTCAGAGTACTGCAAATCTATATTTTATGTCACGATACTATAGATTTTCAGTAGGTACTGAAAGTTGCTGACAGTGAATATCGGAATGCAGCCATAGTTCCCGCGAGAAACATTTGAACAATTTTGTCTCACTTTTTTTGTAAAATGCATTTCTATTTTTTTTCTGTAAGATTGTATACTTGGACAAAAAGCATACAATTCCTATTTTTTTTTCATATAAATATAGTCGAAAACACTTGACTGTTTTACTATATTGAAAGATACAAAAGCACTCACATTATTACGATGTACGAGGGGTAAATGTACACAGAAGAAAAGGATATTATATTAACATATTATAATATTACAATAGTGTAATATTGTAATATAATTACAATATTATAATATTACAACATAATATTACAATATTATAATTGAAGATAATTAGCTTTTAGCTCAATAACAGTATTAACAAAACAAATACGTAATGCTCTTGTTTTAATAAAATGTTATTTATCTTATTAATACTATTAAATTAATAAGATTGTTTTTAATTAGACTAATGCTGTTAATATCATTTTTTTTCCATATAGGTGATATTAAGTGCGAGAAACCGATTTGACGTTTCTCAAGTGTGTTAAAAATATCTGCGAAGCATCCTGACGTTTCTGATGTTACGTTACGGAAATTTTATCCTAAAATTTCGACGACGCACGTTGAAATTTTTGAACGGTTTAGACGACGCTCGCTAGCTTGGAATTCCGAGCTAACGCTCAGGTCAATATAGATATTTGGTTTATCCTACGGTTATCGGACAGCCGTTGATAGGCTGAGGTCCAGATGGGGGCCCAAAACTAAGTTTCTAAAAACACTCTCAGCCTATCAACGGCCGTCCGATAACCGCAGGATAAACCAAATATTTATATTGAGCTGAGCGTTCGCTCGGAATTCCGAGCTAGCGAGCGTCGTCTAAACCGTTCAAAAATCCCAACGTGCGTCGTCGAAATTTTAGAATAAAATTTCCGTAACAATGTACGTGACATTGTTGTTCTGACGTTTTAATCCCTTAATGAGAAAATCGATGCAATTGATCATTGATATGAAATTGACATGTACAGGGTGTCTGATAATAGATATAACACTGCTCGTAGATAGAGTAGATAGAGCGGATTAAACTGAACAGAAAATCTCTTTGCCATTTCGTAATTTTCGTAATAATTAATGAGAAATTAATTAATTGAAATAATTAAACAAATTTATTTAACTCGTTAATATACTTAAAACTTAATACAATTTAATACAGTTACAAATACTATAGTTACATTAACAATTTTTAAGAAAGTGTAACTTAGATGTGGCTCTTATAATTCTGTAGTTTACGTCAATCCATCGTTTAAGTGATGAAATTGTTTTGTTTCATTACCAAATAAATAAAATATAAAACCAAAATTAAAAGGATGGAACCTAAAGGGAAGATATCTAAACCCATTGTCGGCCAGGGTAAATATAATAGTTACAAATCTAGACGCGATTATGCGTGCGACTATTAAATTTTACAGTACAAATAATTATACTTGTAATTGGTTGCAAATTCCAAGACCGATTTCAATCTCGGTGGAGAGAGAAAGTTTAATTAATAAAGGTTTCAGTTGATCCAGCGTTACACGTACATCATGGATTCATGGCGGCTGATAGAGGTGCGCGCCGTTCCACTTATTAATTAATTTCTCATTAATTATTTCGAAAAACGATAGAGGACTTTTCCATTCAGTTTAACCTGCTCTACCTGCCTACGATACGTGATATGGTTATTAGATACCCTATAGATGCGGCGACGGCGGCGATGTCGTTCAAAACAAAGCTGTTTCCCGAACCCAGTAAGCAAATGTTAACGATATGCTAGCGGTTTGCCAGCAGAATAGATTATTGCAGCTGAATGACGTCAATCGACATAATCTGACAGTCAGATTGCCAGCGGAAATCGGGCAAAAAAGAAACCGAGGAAAATCTCGTAACTTAATTAAGCGTATTATGCCTGATCAAGGTGCTTCTCAAGTGTGACTAACATCTACTGATTGTCCATACACATTTCTAATGTAATCGCAATACATACACACACACGTGGCAAGTGCCCGGTCTCTCCGGTGATCTTCGCCAACAAGCGCTTCTCTTTGTCAAACAGGACGAGTATCTCTTTTCTCTTTTTTTTCTCTCTCTCAAACACGCAATATCGACAACTACTTGAATTCGGATTTTAGATGTGGAATTAAGCTACATGAATTCGATTCTGCTTATACGATTATAACGAGATTAATCCCTACCTAAAGTTACTTGTGCGTTTAGTAAATACGTCGCATTCTAACCGTCGTTCACAATCGCTCGCGGCGAACATTGGGCCTCGTTACTCACGTCTTTGCTCGTACTATCGCTTAATTCGATGTCGGTTAAATTTAGTTTTAGTCGAGTGTCCTCGCTCGCCTCGCGTAATAATCCAAAAGAATTGTCAGGAGAACATCACTGATAGTTGGCGCATTTTGTATCTCGTTCTTTTGGATAAAGTCGCACGAGTGGTTCTCAACCCTTCCAGCGCCTGAAAGCTACAGCGAATATTCATTACTTAATTCATTTAATGAACCTCACTCATGTAGGATTGCACAATTAGGCATCATATAAAATAATTAAGCGTCGTGTAAAGCAATCAGCCTCCTTTCTCTTGGAATACAGAATAAAAATTCTTTGGGTACTTCTTTTTTATAGCTTTTTCCTAGTTGTCGTATCATCAGATAGCTAGAAGTTCCATTAATAATTAGAAATCAGTTAAACGTGACTCGTTTGATGGTCAAGTTGAAGCAATGCAATGAAAAATGATAAATTTTAATCAACGTACGTTAATTAAAAGATACGTTGTGATGTCGAATATAAAATGTTGACAACTCGATATCCTAAGAATTCACAAAAATGTACAAGTTTAGTTTCACAGAGATATTTGATGCACACAAAAGACCAAAACGTACAAGTTATTTCAAGTTATATTCTCGTATGAAGTGTTCGGTATATCCAGAATACAAATTTGCATTTAAAACGTGTATTTACGTGATTTTGCAAAGGGGGTCACAAATTTTTCCGAGGAATAAAACAAAGTCTCGTAGAAAAAAAACAAACATTCCTTTTTAATGATATATATATCATATACTTAACGATGTATAATCTTTAATAATTTAAAAACATGTATCTTTTTTTAAAAAATCTCGCGAATTTTTCAGAGTCTTGAGACATTTCGATACTACTTTTTATTGCGATGAAGATTAGACAGTCGTCAATACAGCCTGGATAGTAAATTGCGTGTCAAAATATAATTTACTATAAGCTGAAATAATGTCTTCTATAAGAAATCTATATACACAATTTGTAGTAAAAAATAATTAAAATATTTTGTATGATCGAAATTGTATGATCGAATTACATCATATCATAATAGATACGCAAGATTCCGAATTATCCTACATCTTAAAGTTGAATAATAATATCTTAGTTCTTATTAAAATTCACTTACATATCTTGCTTCTAACCGCCTCTCATTTACTCTAAAGTGGTCTATGAGATAATACGATTGAGAACCACCGGACCCAAACAGTCTATATTTTATCACACCTCTCCCTGTGCAAATGCGAAATTACGATAGACCGAAAAGATGGTCTCAGCGATTAGGCTCCGTGACTTCATTGAACAGTGGCGTCAACGAATCCATATCTTGCAGGCCGTCAAAATTACCGAGAGGATCCAGATCGTCCGTCTCCGTATCGGCTTCTCCGAGAAAACTGGCCTCCAAAAGATCAGCGACGTTCCTGCAGAGATTGTTGGAAGAAGCGGCAACGGCGATGTCAACGTCGGTGCCGACCGTGACACCCGTCACGGTGGCGACAGCGATGTTTCTCGCGTCGCCCTGTAAACCGATAGAATTAAGGATGGGACTGGACAGTATCGGCTCGCCTGAATCCTGGTACACCTCCTGGGATTGCATCGTATGCAGAGGCGTCGACGGGTACGATCTGGAGCCGTTGCTGTCCTCCGTATAGGAGGGCGTGTACGCGGATACCGGTGCCGGCAACGGCGTATTCGGATACGACCGCGACTGCATCATTTTCTGTAACGCGCCACCGGCGTCAGCGAGGATACTCGACGGATCCAACATATCCTCCTCCGATAGATTTAAATTGGCGTTCGGCAAACCGTCAAGAACAATCGTATTGTTCAACGTCTCCTCCGTAGTCTGTTCAGACAACATTTGCAAATTTGGCTGACCTTCCTCGTCTAAAATCGTGAGAATGTTATTAATGTTCTCGGACGTGATCCCCTTGTCATCCGTCATCAAGAACTGCTGGTCGTCCGACATGAAATTCGTATCGTCCAACAGATACGCGCCCTCTTGTCCGATGGAAGAACCGAAGTCATTGTACTCGCTCGGCACCGGGGTAGGCGCAACGGAACTACTCGTCGACGGATTGAAGCTTTGACTCTGTACCGATGATAAGCATTGCTGCGTGGCGATCGGAGACATTAACGACACGGGATTTATCATCCTGTGCAACGGCACCGATTGCGATCTGTAGAATAATTGCTCGTTGCTCAAGTGTCTGCCAGTGTGAAGCAGCTCCGTGATTTCCTGATCGGGCGGAGGTAGCTGACCCTTCTGATATACGTTCTTGATTTCTTGCAAATTCTCTTGACTCGGATAATTGATTAACAATTGTTTCTGAGGCGTCAAGTCCAGATACGCAGTGTACGGTGGTCCCTTCAGAACGACCTACATCAAGAAAACATTTTATAAATATTTTATCGCGAAGCCTGCCATGTTTTTATATATTACTTTATATGTACATCTCAAATACGTTTCTAATCTGTGTTCTTTCTTTTGCAAAGAGAGAAAAGTTATCCTTTAATTGCTCTTCCATTCTCAATAAATTTAAATATGATAGGTTTGCTTTTAGGAAAATTAAAGCCAGGATACACGACTTAATACAAGCACAAGTATCCGCAGATATAGTGTATTCAAAGTATGAGACACATTTACAATAAACAACGGCATTAATTTCGCCCTGTACTCAAATTTTCTTTAGCCAAGTAGTCATTAACACACTCACGCGAATATTATGAATTATATTTTGAATACTCCGTTATCCATCAAACGATATTCATGTATATTAACGGCATGCATATTACTGTATATTACAACATGTATATTAATGTTAATCAACTATATACAGGTCAACTATATACAGGTCAACCGTATCCTGTATATATATAAATTCTTTATCATTGCCTAGTCGGACTTGGATCTAGTCAAGCTTATTTTTATTCGATTCAAGTCTTTACCTCCGACGACTTGGTCGTTGCCACTGTCAGCACTTGCCGCGTGTGTTCCGCTCCGCTCGACGTCGGTACGATGAAGGTGTCCGTCGTCTTGATGGTGTACGGCACGCTGCACGAGATGGAACGAGAGAGCGTCTTTTGGCCGCGCGATCTGGAACTGCCGGCTTGAACGTTACTGCGCGACCTCAGCACCGGGGTGTTACGCGGAGATACAAATGGACTCGCGTTCGCCGAGTTCGACTTGGACGCGCGGCCGTTAATAGGGGAATGCGGTCCGGGTGAGATCGGGGTGAAGTTAAATATTCTGCGTCGCGTATTTGGACTCTGTGGCACAGTATTGGCTACACTCGGCGTCGCCGGCTCTTGGACATGCTCGACGACATTAGTTTCGAAACTGACACGACGTCGCGTATTGCCCGGATTAGGGTGATTCAGAAGTGTCGGGAGTATGAGATTATGTTTCTGCACGGGGTCCCGTTTCTCCACAACGCTCTCGGCAACGTTTTGCCGAACAACGGCTACGGGCGTCAGTTCGGCGGCGATGACGGGCGCTTTCAGATTCTGTTGCAATATCAATCGCAGCTGCGACACTTTGTCCGACCGAGAGATCTGCTCAGCATCGGAACCAACGACGCTGGTTTCCACATCGGAACTAGACGAGCTACTTTGCTGAAAATACTGTAGCAACTCCTCCTCCTGCTCCTGCGAATTGTTCCCGCCGTTCAAATAATCGTCCAAGGCGTCCGTGTCGATGTCACGAACCTTCCCATCCTTGAATACTGGCGTATCTTGCAGGAGGCGGATCTGGTCCCTCGTGAGAAGTCCCGAGGACGTTTCCACCACGTTGCCGGTAGTGGAACAACTCTTCGACGAGTCAATATCACAGTTTTTAGCAAGTTGACTGTCCACAGTCTCTGCTTTGCACTTGATAGATTTTGAATTGCTAGCTAGTATCACTGATATCTTGCCGGCGCGTTGGATAGACGCTAACTTGGGTAACAAAGCGTTGGAATGCTCTGGACTCTCCTCCGTGAGCTTCGTCTGTTTTTCAGGGCTGGGCTCCTGCTGTGCTACAATTGGATTATTGGCACGTTTCCTGGAATTTTTACCTTTGACATCGCGCTGCGCACTCATCATTACTCTAAGGTTGCTATTACTCTGTTTGTCGTCGCGCGATTGTACCACTAGGTTATCACAGTTAGACTCTTGGGAGACATTGCAAGTTTGTTGCTGCTGTTGCTGTTGATTGCAAGTTTTCGATACCTTTCTTTGCCGGTTATAGACTATAGCGGATAAGTTCACTTTTGCCAGTGAGTTTTGTGCGACCACTGTTGTTGCTGCTGCATTTGTACCTTGAGGTGACTGATTGGACTTAACTTTCTTGCATCCTTTGCTGACATTTCCTTTAGTGTCGATGGCTTTTTCTTTGCTCTGTGAAAAATCAATTATATTTTGTATAATCAAAAGTATATAATCAAACTTTTAATTGTATTAATTAAATTAGAAATGTATTATGTTCTAGTTCTTGAATACTATTTACAAGTTATTGACACATTTCCGGAGGACTGACACCACGTTACTCCAATCTCTTTATATATTCAAAAGAAAATGAAAAATAGTTCAGCAAACGGCTAACTTTACACAATCTTTAACAACGAAATTAGAATATTACATTACGTTACATACCTGTACAATGGTATCGGGACAACGATGCTTCTGATCTTTTATATGCTCGCGTTGCTGAAGCTTGCGCTGCAATTGCAACTGTGCCTCTCGAAGCTTAGCAGGCTTACCACCTACAGGCGTTGTCGGTAGATCCGAGATCACCTCTAACGATTGAGAATTGAGAATCAATTATTCAATTGCAAGAAAATGGATAAACGAGGATGTATTTTATAGTATTCAACAAGTGTTGCTCACCTTTATTAGACGAAGCATCATGCTGGTCCGAAGTTGCAAGAATGCATACAGCAGCCAAAGACCGAGTATCGACTCGAAAATTATCAACAAGATGCCGCGCTAAGGCACTCAAATTTGGAAATTTCTGGCCCAACGTTTTTTCTGCCCATTCTCTTATCAATGTAGATGCAGCGCCTAACATTTCCTCAGTGGTATTTTCCTCCGAGTGTTCCTCCTGAATTTATTATATAATTTATACAGTTAAATGTTACGCATTTACATATTAGATATTTTGATGTTTAAAAAAGAATTTAAAAAGAGAGAGTATTTGTAGAAAAAAAAGTAGAAATAATCGAAAGAATCTATCTAATGTAATAATTATCACGTAATATAATATTGATATACAAGCTTTAAATTTAAAACATAACAAATAAAAAATCAAGATGAGAAAGAGAAAAAAAAAGAAAAAGAGAGAAAAGAAATTTAAGCAACTTTCTGAAACATAATAGCGAGAAGTTTGATCGATAAAATATATTACGTAAAAATTATAGAATATATCATTTGCTACTCACAGTGTCAGAGCCAGATATCTTTGGCAGTGTTGGAGGATCCAATTTAATTCGCTTGCGCATACCAGCGTAACAGTAGCGAGAGTTACCTCGTGTGCCTAGTCTACGAGGGCGCACTCGCGGATACACTTGTTTCATGACTTTTCCAAAATCGGCCGTCGATAACGGCTTCATAGAATTTCTTGTGCAATACATGCTGAAAATAAAAATCGTATGCAAGAAATGTTTTTTAAAAAGTTATTAGAAGACAGATATATTCACAAACAATCAAATCAATATCTATAAAGTTTCACTATAAATGGATAGCACAGATATATTATCCATCTCCTTCATTTAATTTTTCACTTTAATATGACATTTTCAGATCATATAGGAAAATATTGAGAATTGAACCGAGTAAAATATCGCAAAGCACAAATTTCTAAGCAAAAATTGACTTGAAATTAATCAACTAATTTGTAATTACAAAGACGTGCGTAATTCTAAATTTCTCCCCTCTGCATTATGTACGTATGGCAAACTTACTTGTATTCATCGTACACTTCTTGCTTCGGTAAAGATACATCCGGGTCTTCTTCTAAATGAGTCTTAATCCACATGATGGTCTGATGAATTTCGTAGCGATTCCCTAATGGATTTAGCGGCTGCCTTAACGGATCGACGGTCCCACTCGGGTTTGTCAGCAGCAACGGAAGTTTCAGGTACAACAATAACTTTTCCTCTAGCTTAAGTCGTTCCACCTGCGAGAAGATCTCGTCCACACGCGCTCTAGATTCTTCGCTATAATTCAAAAAGATGACATACATTATTAACTTCGACCGGAGCTAAACAATCTCTTAAGGGCATAAAGATGTTAAGTATGAGAGCAGATGCCGCGAATGTAAAATATTTAGCACACAATTTTTTCATTAATGAATTAGATCTCATGTATAATAACAGAATTGGTTGGATTATTAAAATCTGCAAAGAGGTACATGTCGGACATTTTTTTGATTTTTTAAATATTCTTTGAATATGAGAATAATAAATTTTACTTTCTAAAAGAGTATTTTACGTTTAATAAAAGTATCTTGCTTCTTTTAGAAATCTAACGTCCAAATATACTTAATAAAGATAATATTAATTAATAAAAATAAATGCTTTGCTATAAATAATGTTTTGTTATAGTAAATAATTTCGTATCAATAACAAAGGACATGTGTACAAAATTAGAGCTCATTAATGTTACAATTCTCAGATGAACTGTCAGACACAAGTGTCTAACAAATAACTAAATAATTACAAAATAATTACGAAATATCTAAAAATATACTGATGGTAGAGAACCATGAGAATCAGGTATCTCTAAGCATTTTTATTACATAAAACATAAATTTACTTCCTGTTTAAAGAATATCTATATGCATATAGATGCGACATATGCAGCAGATAAAAGAAATTGGTGTACAATATTCATTAAAATGATCAGAACGGCACGCAGAATGACGAGCAGTTTAGTGGTAGAGTAATTCCTAATCCTGCTACCGTATACACAAGGAATTTTGAATAAAAAGAATGCTTCAGATAACTGAATCTGTGAAAAGTAAATTTTGCAAGAAGCAATGCTACAAATTTTGTCAGCGGAATGTCAGTAAAAATGTAACAGAATCTGCTAACGGAACAGGATAGCGTATTGCCAATGGAACCTACCATTTTGTAACTACATATTTAAATAATGTTCCAATTTAAATGACTATGAACCAACAACTTTGTTCAGTTTATCGACAGACTCTAACTGACTGAATACGAGATTAACATAAATAATAGATGGTAGGTGCCAATCTGCTGGCAAACTGCTGGCGTATCATCAACGTCTTGCTGGGATTATTCTATCGTGATAAAGACAAATAGCAAAAGCAGATATCAGGCAACCAATCTCATAAATTCTAGCGTGAAACGTAAGTTGACGATGGAAAGCAATCGAGAGTTGCCTGAAAACTTAAAATCGACTTAACCTAATGCCATCCTCTATCATAATCCGAATTTTGTCCTGCTTGGAGGAGGCGCCGTGGTTGGCCAAGGTCGCGAATTTGGTCGCGACGAGGTCCTGCAGCTGATCGCCATCGCCGTGGAAGCCGTTGGAGGCAAATCTGCCGGCCGACAAGTGTCGTTTCTCGAGGACCGTGGTAGCGGTAGCAGCAGCAGCAACAGCGGTGGCGGCGGCGACGGTGACGGCGGCTGAGGAAGTGGAGGTGCCGGCGGTAACGGTAGCGGCGTCGCCATTCTCCACGCAAACGTCACTGCGCTCCTTCTTAATTCGTTTACCATCGAACGCGCTCTCCTCGTCGCTCCTCGCGGATGTTTTGCAGGATTTCGTCTGATCATGACTGTCAGTACTCATCGTAGCCCAAACCTCCCCCGTCCCGACCGTCCTCTCCACCCTCCACCCTCCACCCTCCCGCGCCGGTCGTGTGCTCTCACGTATGCGGAAACGTATCGCCTCCCGGTGCGCGGCCACTGCGAGCTACCATGTTGTCCGCCGTCGCACGGTAGTCAGCTGGCCTACTCGTCGTTAGCAACGTTAGCATCCCGGCCGCGCCATTACTCGACGAGTGAGGCGAGTCGCCGCCGGAGGACGAGGAGTGTTTCTTCGGTTCGCGCGCGAGGTGCCGTGGGTGCCGTGCCGCACGAGTCGCCGAATCGCCTACGAGTACGGTATGCGGCGACGCGCGGATCCGTCATAACGGCGACCGCGCGCGTTCGGTGGCCACTGGCCGCGCGCTGCACGTCTCGGTTACGGGCGCTCGGGGGAACGGGAACGTCGGGAACGCGCCGTCAGCCGTCAGCCGTGCCAGACTCAGCCAGACGGACGAGAATGCCAGGGCGAGAACCGCGTGAATCGATACCGGCTACGATGGCCCACGAACATCCACTCGGCTATTCGCCGCTGTTCGCCGCGCTTCGTTGCTCGCTCGGGTTTGCGCCGTTTGCGCGTTCCCTAGTTCCCGAGCTAGTTCCTATCCCGTCGCCATAGAGTATGCGCTATGCGCCTACGAACGATGCTTCATTGCTTTTCATCCATTCACCTTCGTGCGCGCACGAAAGCACCAAAGAAAGCACCTTCCACCAATCGCCTTTCGCGACGAGAAGCAATCGAAAGATGGACGATGGACGACATTTATAGGTGTGTTCTTTTTGGCTGAACTTGTTGCACCGTTTATCTTTTCTCCCTCTCTTTTTCCCTCCCACATTGGAGACGAAAGAGGAAAAATGAACGGTGCAAAAAAAATTCAGCTAAAAGGAACAGACCTGTGAATGCGAGAGGTAACCGGACCGGATATGGCGGCCATGACGGGTATCGATATTTGATTCTATCAATCTTGCCTTCGGCCGCGACAGAGAGAAACCTTCTTCTTCTTCTTCTTTGGGAATTGAGAATTGGGAATTGGGATTTGAGAATTGGGAATTGGGAATTGGGAATTGAGAATTGAGAATTGAGAATTGGGAATTGAGAATTGGGAATTAAGAATTGGAAATTGGAAATTGGGAATTGAGAATTGGGATTTGGGATTTGGGAATTGGAAATTGGGAATTGGGAATTGGGAATTGGGCCGGCCGAGCGCGGCCGCCGCGGCCAGAATATCTCCTCATCCTGTTGGCTAGTTCGGACACGAATCCATTAGCACGGACGCAAACCATGTGCGGTTACCGAGCGAAACGACGTAATTGAGTTTCACTTTCTCAGGCTCACAGGCGCGTCGGAAAATGCAACACACGAAAAAGGCCGGGATGGGATGGGCGGATGGCCTCTCTCAGGTTTCTCTCTGGCCGCGATAAGATTCCTATCCATCGAATGTCTATATTTGGTGCGACTTTGGCCTCCTTATTATCCATCTATATAAAATATATAAATATATAAATTATTAAATATATATATAAAATATACTGATTTGGTTGGTAAGATATAACTTTCGTGTTTGTTATCCTTGGTGCAGTCAAAACGATCGGTAATATCACCGTTCTTCAATTACCTCCGGACCCACTGGACACTGGACACTGGACACTGGATGGTCACGAAAATTTGCCCAAGACTGGCCGACCCATCGCACCGACACTCCGCTGCAGATTCTCCGCCGGCCTGTGTTTACTCCACCAATCCTCCGCCAGCCGGCGTCTTCATTTATTTCTTATTATTATTAAAATTAAATTTAGAAAAAATTATATATTAATTTGAAGGTAATACAATGTGTAATTAAGTTCGTTTTTTTTAATTTGACTTATTAACTAAGGGCCATTCTACAATACGTCGTAAACAATGGCTACTGGCAATTAACTGGAAGTTGAAAAGGGCTGCATTCGAGAAGCGCGCTATTAGCGCTATTGCATCATTCTGTCTTTATCGCTCATCAGATGTAAAACAAGGATAGAATAAGCAAATAGCGCTAATAGCGCGCTCCCCGAATCCAGCCAAGTGTTATTTCCATGTTTTGCGCTTGTCAAAAGAGAGTTGGCGAACTTTTGTTAACCTTTTGGCCGACAGTAACTGGGCAAGCGGCAATCAGAAATAACACTTTTCAACTAGCAGTTGCCATCGTTTGCGACGTATTGTAGAACCGGCTTAATTCTTCGTGCATGTGTGTGAAAATGTGTATTTTAAATTCTGTGCATTTTCTGACCCTTTAAATATTTTTCAGGGCACGCGCAATATTATACATAAGTAGAATGTCGTCGCAAACTATATAGATTGTTTAACGTGGACTTTAATATAGTCTCGTAAGTACTCTATCTTATTCTATCTATCAATTAGTATCTATATATACTTTTATAATGTTGCAGTATACCGTCCTACATTTGGCGTAAAGCCCGTTTTACCTTTTACCTCCGTGTCTCTCACTCGCGCCGCGCCGCACACACCATGCACAGTAGCCGCGCGCAACGCGGCTCGCCGTCGCGAGAGGAAAGGATGACTCTCCAGCGGGAAATTGCCGCGATGCGTGTCCGAGAGGTGCGCGCGTATACCAGCACTTTCATTGTTCTTCGATGTCTCGGCGCGAAGAGGCGCGAGCGATTTCGCGTGCGTTACCACGGCCACCAGCTTGACGTACCCTGTCGTCGTCATCGTCATCGTCGTCGTCGTCGTCGAGCGACGGGAGCGAGCCGAATACTCCGTGAAAGTAAGTGTGCGAAATCTTTCTTCAGAATTACATATTCCAGTGAGTCGCAAAATTCAAATACGCGTCTCGTACACAGCGAGACATATTCTACACGCTATGGCAATCAGAGCGACAAAAATGCCCGAGGAAACAGAGGTGTCTCCCAACAGCGCGAGAGCAACTTTTTAAATTTATTAAATTTATGCTTTAGATAATTTGAATAATATTGCGATAAAAATTTCCTGACGCCCGTCTTATGTTTCTGAACTCTTATAAAAGAGAAAAACGTACAAACTTTTTATTACAATTTATTTTAAATTTGTATTTGCTTGATATCAAGATTTATTTGGAAATTGTTTAAATAATTGCGTTAAGAAAAGGAGATGTAATGATTTGTCGAAATCTTAAGCTTATACTTTGATTTGAATTATTTAAAAGATATACACGTAGATGAAAATATTAAGAAATCTCTTCAAGACTACAAGATATTCTCATCGAAAGTTCTAGCGAGTCGCGAGATATGATACATCGATAAGAAATCCTGCACGCGAACCATATGAAGTCCCGTGTACACTTTAAGACTCCTTATAGTGTTTTGGACAGTAACGTAATGGGAAGTTAGGGAAGCGAATTGCCCAACACTGTACGCAAATATCTGTTTAACGCGGCCAAAATGATTAACGGAGCGCGAGAGTGGCGGCGGCGGGATGAATGGAGTCGGATTCTGCATTAGCATACAAGGGCGAACAATGCAATTTCGCCATACTAACGTCGTAGAGTCTCTCTCTCGCAACTTAATTCGCCTGTACGGGTTGTAAACAGTGCCGGCAGTAATAAAATGCACGCACCCAATTGTGACGATACGAGGTATTGGCCAGTTGGAAAATTGGATACTTTCATCCTAAGTGTTGGATTTTCCGGTGGATTTTTAGTTTAGCGTAGCGTTTAATTGTATGTAAAAGTGTTGTTGATTAAAATA